TAGAAAAATGAGCCATGATGTTAGATTGTAAGATAAAACGAATAGAAGAAAGCAAACTACACACTAGTGTTTATAGAAAACCAACGCATTCTAATAGATATTTAAACTTTAATTCGTCTCATCCGTTAACTGTCTGTTAAGGCAGGCTTAGTGAAGTGTCTAACAAACCGAGCCATAGCACTAAGTAGCACAAAAAGACCTAAATGACGAAATAAAACAGATAGAAGAGGCGTTGGTGTTGAATAACTATCCCATAAAATTCATTAGGAAGGTCACTAAAGACCAAAGACAAAATAAAAATAATCGTGAAACTAGTAATAATAACATAAATAAGAGAGAATATAAGTCATCTACAGCAATACCATATAAAGAGGGGACATCTGAGACCCTACCTGAGTAGGATTCTTAATAAAGCAGGAATTAGGGTGGTGGCATTCAAACCTACAAACTCACTCAGATAGGACAAGCTCTGTAGGTTGAATGACCCCGTCGACCCAATTAGACAAAATAATATAATTTACAAAATACCCTGAAATGATTGTGAGTTAAGTCAACTACAGAGGTCAAACTAGCAGGTCAGGGATAGTCAGATTACCAGAACATAAGAATTTAGCTAAGGTAAGAATGGTTGACCCTGAAAAGATGAGTAATTTAGAAAAAAGCTCAGCTATTGCACTTCACGCATTAAAAAAAAACCCACACAAAAGGGTGGGATAGGGTTAAAATTCTAAAATGTAATATAGGCAGGTGGAGAGAGAGATTGATTACGGAATCCTTATTCATCGAGTCTACACCCAACACATGTAACAGAAATGACCCAATGCAAATACCAGAAATATGGAGGATATTGTTACCTCAAGTCAAACCAGGAGAAGATAATCTTAAAATTCTATTTCAATTCAAATACATCAAAACATTCTAACAAGTAACGTATTATGACTATAAAAAAACACTCGTGTAAAACATTCGTATTTCCCATATAATTGTAATGGATCAATAACACTCGTACTATTATTTCTGAATGTAAATTATCTCCTATTGATTTTTAATTCAATATCTAATCGATTCCACACATGTATATAAATGAAAGAAAAAAGTTGTGTAAGTTACTTGATATGATTATGAGTGGCAAAAGTTTGTACTCGAAACGTCATCAGTTAATATAACTGTACAACGCTGTGTGTGATTTATCAAAATAAAATCTTATCCATAATGGAGTTATGCTCTACCACAGTGCCCAAGTTTTATACTTCAATATCTAAAGTGACCATTGTTAGACACTGCGCGCACCAGGTCACCGCCTGAATGGAACCAGAATGAGAAACGTCAAGTTGGCTGCTTATATGTGTTCCCAGTTGAAATGGAGGCGATCCAGCAAGGAGAATATTAAAGACTATAGGCAGTCGTGCAGACAACCAAGAAAGAACTTCAGCGAACAAAGAATGGAAATTCCTAATTTAACAGAATTATAGTCAAGTGAATATGTCTGGAGAAAATTGTTTAACTCATTTTGTTTAATTAAAACAAGCATCCAAATATTTTTGGCGGTAAATTAAACATTGAAAGAAGAAATCAAAAAGTGAATTGATTTTATTATTATATCAGATAAATGTTGCATTAATTAATGATAATACTTTTGGGCATACGCCTCAACCCTCCTGAACCAACCACCCACAAATACTCATATATATATATATATATATACAGTGAGGTTGAAGAGTGGAGATATCTTTCCCCCTAACCTATTTTAATTTTGTTACAGTTAACCCACTTGTACATAAACAAGTGGGACTGAACATTATTATTACTATTACTATTATTATTATTAGTAGTAGTAGTATGGTTTTTCTAGGGATAAAAAGAAATGTGAAAATATTCTTTCTAGTCGAACTGATGAACCAGTATATTTTCTAATGCTCTTTTTTTATCCGTCATCATCCCACACTCTCCGGTATTCTTAGTAGAGGGTCACAGATAAAACTTGCTTGGAGGCAGGAATTGGTAATGAGTAGAAGCGCTCGGGGATGTGGCTGGAGTTCTGTACTAGGGGAAGTTTCAATCACTTTCCTTCTTCGGTTGTTTGTTTGAGAGGTTAAAGTAATTCCATATTAGTTTGTTTATTAGATTTGTCACACAGTGAAACAGTATTATATACTGGATGACGAGGTTTCGAACACAATTCACCTTATTGTTCATAATCATATCAATTGTAATCAATCGACTTTGAGACTTGAGATTTATAGTTTTCTTTGTTTTCTCCTGTTTGTCGTAATGGTAGTAGAATTTTCCATATATCTAAGACAAGTGTTGAATCATTTCTATTACATGTATTTGTAACAAGCAATAAGGGTTAATAAAGCAGGATTTAATGAATTCATCAAATTTCGGTAGAACTCGTCAGCTGAATACTCTACATACACGGATATATATACTTTTGAAATTACATTGGGAGATATAAGACTGATAAGTAAATAAACTACATTGAATTAATCATGCAGAAAGATAGGTGAGAATAATTTACAGGTCATGTTCAAATAGATAAGGGGAGAGAGAGTATGAGAGATCAAAATTAAAATAAATTGCATTACGCTTCAATTACATCACTTAGATAAACAATTAGTCATTAGGGAATATAAAGAGAATTGTAAACAGATTAATATCAATAGTAATAGTTATTTTTTTTCCTTCACGTTCCCCAGTGTAACATAGGGCCTCACGCTTAATGGCTTAAAGTTTCTGTAGCAGTGTTTATTTTACAGGATGGGGCTGCTAGCCTCATGCCCAACCTTTCCTCTTTACCAGCAGTATTTCTGACTTAGCCAGTTAAGGAGTGCTTCGGTGGCCGGGGATGGAACTCTGGACCACGTGCATGGTCGGCGAGCGTCCTAACCACTGTGCCAGTGACGCACGTAATAGTTGTAGTAATAATAATAATAACAATAATAGTAATGTTGAAGTGGGTTAAGATAATCTTACTGATAAAGCATAGTTTTAGATGAATCAAGAATAATAATAATGATAATAATAACAACAATAAGAAGAAGAAGAGGTAGAATAATAGTAATAACAAGTAGAGAATAATAAGTAAAACGTATTACCATGGTGGATTCATAGTCACGACCATCTTCTTTTGCATACAGAGAGCTGGTTTATAAATTCGAATTGCACAAGACTCTGCAATTGCAAGCATCTTTTTGTTTCTTTGTTTGCTGACAATGGTAAATAACTCGACTGCGTCGATATCATGTCATGTCGATATCACGTATGTACATGTATGACCTATATTTGCAGTTGATTCGATAAACAAAGCTTCTGTTATCAATCTCTGCCTATACCCTGTGACATTAGATTTTAAAACTGTCATCCTATCCCATCCATCCTATTGTATGGTTGTGTGTGATTGCATGCAGTGCTATAGCTGAACTATTCTCTAGATTCTTTATCTTATTTGGGTCAACCAATCTAGATTTAGCTAGGTTTTTATGTTCGGCTAGTCTGACTGACTGACCCTGTTCTACTAGTTTGACGTATATATTTGACCTCACAATCATTGCAGGGTATTAGGTAAACTAAATTGTTTTGTTTATTTGGCTCAACAGGATTGATCGTTTAACCGACAAAGCTTGTTTCTAATTTAGTTTGTGGGTGGTTTGAATGCCAGCCACTGTTATTCCTGCCTTGTTAAGAATTCTGCGTAAGGCTTCCGAGGTCCCTTCCTTGTATGGAATTACTGTTGATGATTTACATTCCTTATTCTCGGTGTCGTCATTAGTATTATTATTATCACTACTATTATTACCGTTATTATTATTATCATTATTATTATTATCACTATCGCTATTATCATTATTTATTTTATTTTTACATTTACTTATATATTTCTTGACTAATTTATCCGGGTAATTATTAAGTTTCAAGGCTTCTTTTATGTATATCACTTTCTGTCTTAGATTTTCCTTAGTACTACATCATCTAGTATACAATACTGTTTCACTCACTGTGTGATACATCTAATAAACAAACTAATATGGAATTACTTACTACCATAGTGCCCAAGTTTTACACATATATTAACATGAGACGTTAAAGGCCTAGAATATGTCAGTAGGGAATCGAACTCATAGTTCCTGTATGGCTGACTAGGTGGTTGCTTGGTTGGCCAGTTGGTCAGTTGGCTGACCGCCAACGCAAACAATATCAAATCCACATTTATATAATTAATTATTTATATACATAAATTTATATATATATATCACGCTATATAAAAGTCATTATTACAATTGGTCAGTTTTATATCGGGATTAAAAAATACCCTGAGCTTGTGGTAACTGTTGCTATAATTATTAAGTGAGATGTGTAAACACACAGATAGATAGGTAGATAGGTAAGTAGATAGATAGATAGGTAGGTAGATAGGTAGATAGATATCTGGGTGGTTGGGTAGGTAGATGGATGTGTGGATGGATGGATAGATAGTTGATTTAAATACCTTCATTTCTCTTTTCACTACTTAAATTATTTTTTATTGCTCCAAAAATACGATGACTTTTATTTAACCAATCATAAATTTTGAAAAATTTGTATAAATATCCCAATTAAATTTTTATTTAAACAATATGTAAGTGAACCGAAGAAATTCACTGACTCGGTTAATCCTGCTGTCTCGCTGTCTCTCTCTCACGCGCGCGCACCCGCCGTCTATCTCTCTCCGATTTCAGTATCTCACTCTTTTTCTCTCCGTGTTTTTGTCTGTGTTTGTGCGTGTTTCAGTGTCAGAGGAAGTCTGTACGTCTCCTTTGTGATTGATTCGTACTGACACAGTTCTTCGACATATATATAGAGAGAGATCGAACACTTTGATATCACTAGTACCTGATCAATCTCTTTTGAACCCACAGATAATCTATCCACATCTACAGAGACTTAATAATTGTGGTGAGCAAGTGAATCACTATTGTAATTTAACAAAGGGAAAACAGTATACCTATTACATAATACACATGAAGTGGCCAATTGAAATGATATTCTTACTAATGATCTATTCAATAATGCTACACTATTTACCATATAGTCATGGTACCTCTATAAACCGGGTAAGTTGAATTTATTTTCTATTTATTTTGCTTTATTGTTTCAATAAGTTCTTTTGCTGTGTTATTTTGAACCGAAATATTCCGCCTCAGCTGACAATATCGCCTAGCTCCTAGGAAGGAGGCTTCCCACAGGGTGATGATTAGTGGTAATGTGAACATCACCACACCATCAGTAACTGACTGACTGACCCATTCACTCACTTGCCCATTCACTGTCTAACTGGAAAGTAACAAGTTATATCCAGTTGACGAGTCCAGAATGGGACGAAATCCACATCCATATTGCCGTATTTCTATGTAACTTCTGTATTGTAATGTACAACGCAGAGTGTTAGTTATGTCATCTCAACAAAAACACTAATAGGAATGCGGTATTACATCGTTTTTTTTGTGTAAGTATTGGTATTCCACAAAGATCTCGTTCATTGTTTAGTCAAATCAGAATTTGAAATCGGTTTGACAGGGAAAGGGAGGGGGGCTTAGGAAAATTGTTTAGAACCACGAATTAACAAATATGTGAGTGTGTTTGAGGTCTACCTTTATTGCCTCATCGGTTTATAATGCTGAAGGGTCTCACTAGAGGGAAGGAAAGAAAGGCGCTTTATAAAAGTTTTTTTCATATTCCTCCGCGTTTTAACACTAGTGAAGCAACTAGGGCTTTAGGCTTTGAGGTGTCTTGCAGTTTAGTGGCATGAGGTGTACATACCCTTCTCACACATACACACACACACACCCAACTCAACCTAACCATCTTTTCCTGGACTGCTCTATATACAGGCTAATAATAACCAAGCGAGATTTTAACGGAACGGTGTTCGCCGAGAATCGAAGTCTCACTAAGTATGTGGCTGGTTAGCGTAGCACTGATAAATAAATGAGTTCTGTGTTTTTAGACGGAAGGAATTTTATGATTAGTAGTGTTTGATTTTGTCCTTGAAATTCTCAATGTTTTTAGTTTTTTATATGATGAATACATTTCACTGTCAACAATCGGGTAATTTAGACATTCTTAAGCTGGGAAAATCGATGAGATTCTCTGATATATGGTCATAGACTGGTAGACTATTGGTGATTTAAGTGTCAGGATGATGATGAAAGTTGGAATCTTGATAACATTCCAACTATTGGCTTATAAAAATAAACTAATCTCTTGACCTACTGGTTGAAACCAGCAAGTGTGAACAAATGTTACGTAACTAGCCTTGGTTTATCTTATAGACAGTAAGTTGAATTTATACATCAAAAACAAGATGGTCATAACAATATCAAATTGTTTATGCTGTACTTTGTATATGCATATATCATCTGATGTTATTTAGGCGTCAGTATGATTATTATTATTATCGTCATTACTATTCCCTCGGGTTCCAAGTGGGGCGTAGGACTTCAAAAGTACCTTTCCATTTAACTCTGTTCTTCAAAAAGTCTTTGATAACTGTTTAAATGATCGCCAATTAGTAATCATTTCTTTTTTTTATATCATTGTTGGACTAGTCGTTTGTTAGTTTTCAGGTTCTACACGAGAGCCTGCCACACTTGTGATACAGATATGATAGAGAAGATTTGTAGCTCAGGTGGATCATTTTGATGTGTAGTTGTGTTCTCAGAGCTGGGTAGTTCATTTGCGAAACTTTTATCACCCCCTTCTAGCCAATATCTTCAGCGCATACTTCAAGTTGAATTGTAGTGAGCTTTTAGATTTCTCTACGAGTTTATTAAAAACACATGTGACATTTATATATATATCACTGAAACCGCCAACTCAACGTTTAAACCCAATCCATTCATCTCCATTTTTTTCTGCATATTTGTGCAGCAGGCGGTAGTGTCTTGTGTTTTTTTTTGCGCTACCTGCTGGCAACGACAGAAGTCTCTATAGTAATCAGTGGATCCTGAGTTCGAACCCCACCTGGCAAACAAGTACTGCTGAAGAGTCCTAAAGTAGACGGATGAAACAGCTGTCAAGTTATAACAGCTTATTTTCCAATGGTCCTCTAACTGATGTCAGTCCATGATGAAATCCTCCAACCGATAATAATAATAATAATAAATCGTCGTAATACAAGCAGAAGGGAGTGGGTCGGTAGTCAGTTTCTCCAAAAGCATTAGCGAAATAAAACACTTCACTACGTGTATGTTTACAGTGAAAATTTACGTAATATATAGATGTATATATATACATATATTTTATTCCATTCAAAAGGATATCAAACATTCAGTGATACAACTTGATGCTACCAAATAAAAATTTGATCCCTTTGCTTAGATATTCCTTAACAAGTCAAGTGTGATCTTAGGCTGACATCAGTTAGAGAAAATCATTGGGAAACCAGACACTGAGTATTAGACACCCCTGTTTCGTCCTAATACTTGTGACTGACTCATCACCAGCACTACTCACCCATAAAGGTACGAACATAGGAGACTTTGCGATAGGAAGGCAAGTGTGCAGACCACTCTGCTATTTAGATTTGCTGAATTCAATCAGCCAGTGTCAAAAGCGAATAACCGTTATCTTGCCTGACTTGATGTGATGCCACTGAGCACGACTACCTAGTTAGATTGAAATTTCAGATAACGTACGGCTATACAACCAGTCAGTCACTAGTAGGAGTTGTTAATGTAAGGTTTTCAAACCATCAGAAATCCAGTGAAATAATCCATTTTACCTCCGTGATTTTAGTTGTTTTATAAGTATAATGTGAAATATAGCAAGTCTCTAGTGGGATATCACTCTCACAGCCTCTGTAGTGATTACGTTTACTCTGGTCATGTAGGCACACAATCTTAGTCAATTAACTAGCATCATGTTACTATAAATATTCATTAATTCAAAATATCTTTTAACTATTTAGAAAGTATCAGTTGAAAGAAAGAAATCACTGAGCTCCGTCCCTCCCTCGCCCCTTTCTCCGTTTAATGATTGTTTCTTTCAATACCACTCATTCGACAGAACTTCACACTACTTGTACATAACCGAATTATAAGCTCTCCAGGAAGTCAGTTTTTGATTTCTCAGTTGAAACGTACTGTACATGTATCAAGTAACCTTAACCATGAGTAAGTGAGTAACATTCTTATTCTCCGAAGACATATGACCTCATACTGAGTAGTTACACTGCCTCCTAATGAATGATCCTTAGAACGTGAAACTTTGAAAAACGGAAAGACGGTGAGTATATATATGTGTTAACGTCAAAAAAACAACCCAGGTATTATTATTGTTCCCCTGGGTTTCTAGTGGAACATAGGACTTCAACTGCACGTCTCCACTTGGTTCTGTCTTCCTTCTGCTGCACTTTTCACCTAAATCATCCATGTTAGTCCATATTCTTTCAACTCCTCTCTCTTCCCACGATCTCCTTCATGTTACCCTTGCAATGACGACCCACTCACTGCTTCCCTTTCGGCCTGGTTCCACTCGACCAATGGCCTGACGCGTGCACGATGTCACCAACCGGCCTCCTCAGCGAGCGAGTGTCCAATTCATCTCCACTTTCTCCTACATATTTGTTTGTTGGCGATTGGTTCTTATTTTGTTTGTTTGTTCCCATAGTTTCTTGTTGGTGATTTTTTCCGGACTGGCCATCTGATCTTCAGTATAGAGCCAGCGAAGACAGTTAGTTGTTGATAAAGGTCTGCCATAGTCTGTTGGAAATATTATTACGTAGTATAGGTAAAAAAAATTGAAAGCAGCTACTTTTTGGCATTAGCGCGATCACAGTAAATTCAAAAATTCACAGAAAGTGTAAAATTATGAAATAACTGAAAGCGTCACCATAAATTAAAAATAGGAGAGAATCAAAGAGTCATTTATTTCGCTGACTAAAATTATACCTTACAAAGTTTCCCTCGTAACGCTTCCTGCATCGCATACAACACGGATAGACCGAACAGGGTATCGATAAGTTTTCTAACTTAGTTCTTTCTGATGAGAAGCAATGGGTTGAAAGATGGGAATCCGTGAATAGATAAGGTGTTGAGTGAGAATCTGACAATATGGATTTAGACCATTTCTCACATGAGTTCATATGTCTATCGGCTACAATATTATAACCAGCTTACTTAATGCCATACTAGCCACATTGCTGTCAACAACCCTTCACAATATGACATAGTCGTTTTCGAGGAACCCCGGAAAGACTGTGAAGGCGGAGGGGGGATGGCGCAGTAATCAACAATAAGTAAGATGTAAAGGATAACCAATTATAAAAGTAGGACTCCTTCCTGTTTGTCTTGACTCCCTAATGTAATAGGTTAGACAAGATATGAGAGGATCCAGAAATGGCAGTGAAAAGAACTATGCCAAGGCATTCAATCCTTGACTTAAAGTGCCTATCCTAGTGTCGTTCATGCTACAAAAATCTTGTGTACGGACAAGTTCATGGAGATCACGTTTATACTTAAAAATGACACATATGGAGGTCTTAAGCGTAAAACCATTCAGTTTGAACCATTGACTTATGTCAGACAAAAAGCTACTCAGATTGGAACGGCCAGATTGAAATGTGACTGGAAACGAGACAATCAGATCATCAGCATATTTAACAAAAAAATTGATTTCCTCAGAAAGAGGCAAATCGTGTTAAAAGAAGGGTATATTAAATTGGAGAAATGTTACGTGTTTAGCTGTTTTGAAGAGTCATTCACTGAATTTTTTTGCCCACCATCAATATCCAGTATGTTGTTTGCTCTTCGTATGCACGAAAACACCTTGCAAAAGCTTTCATTCGCACACAAAAATTGAACTATACTCCTAAAATTGGAAAATTAAACTTTTTATTCTAGTGTTGGTTTGTAGGGATTTTCTTGATTGGTTACAGAATTTCACCATTTGGCTAACATTAGTTAGATAACCATTGGAAAACAAGCTGAGAGTACTGGAAAGCTGTTTTCGTTGTCCTAGTTTGGGCCTCTTCGTCAGTACACACCCATCTGGATTCGAAACCAGGATCTTCTGGTCACTGGGACCGAATCCAATGGCCAGTCAATGAATTGTGACTTCTGCCAAATCACGACATAGCGCAACCCCTAGCCAATGTCTTTGACGCGTGTTTGTCCTCACACCTGACCTGCTGCACCTTACTGGCCACATTTTCTCACTAGAACTCCAGGTAACTAACTACCTTACCCTAAGGACGTAAGTGTACTGGCCATCACAATTCTACCAGTAGCCTCTGTCCGTAAACGAGCGATACAAGGCTAACAAGCATCAATGCTTGATGTCAGTTGTGTATTCAATTTCCTGATATCTAGTGATGAATGCTGTATTGCATAATATATATATCTATTTTGTCTTTGTATGGAACACTTCAGAAGTACTCTGGAACAACCTTTTCAAGAACTGAACCCGAAATATTTTACCCTACAAATTTGACCGTAAGATCATTTATCTACTTAGCTTGAATTAAGTGTTAGTTAATGCTATCAGAGAGTATTTGCCTTCACACTCTTCACTTAATGGATCCTACTGGTCACGGATTTTTATTAGAACTTCAAAGGGTCCATTCTACAGTCAGTCCTTGGAGGGAACTAGCACTCCTCGATTCTCAAAAAGTCCCTTAATTAATTTCAAAACATTATTTATGCTTACAAGTACTATTACTACCCTAGGTGCCAAGTGGAACATAGGGCTTCAAAATAGCACTGCTCTGTTTGACCCCTTTCCCCAAAGTATTCCTTTTTAGATGGCTCCACGATTTCACATAAACTCTCATCTCCTCAATATTCCTCTCCAACGCATACTGAACCCAAGGTTTTAATCAAGAGCTTGCCACACCTCTGACATTTTTGGCCAAAACCAACAACCACAACAACAACGGACGACAGTCAGCCAGCATAAATGGGAGGAACCTGAAAGAAACAACCTCCTTCACATACCTACCTACCTACCTGGGAAGCATCGTTTCAACTACAGGTCGATGGAACTGACGAGGATATCAAAGCAAGAATCAGAAAAGCGAGACAAGCTATCATTACTATCAAGTCTGTGTGGAGGTCAACAGCACTCAGCATGAAAATGAGAATAAGATCCGGATTTTCAACTCCAATGTGAAGTCGGTCAGTGATACTCTACGGATGGATCAGAGACTTGGCACGCCATGAAGAGCATCTCCAACAAACTTCAAACCTTCATTAACAGTTGTCTTCGTTCAATACTACTCAAGATCAGATGGCCGGCCAGAAAAGATCACCAACAGGGAGGGATCTCTGGCAATGAGCGAACCAACCCAACAGGAACCGATTGTGAAACAAATAGGCATGAAGAAATGGAGATGGATTGACTGGCCATACTCTAAGGAAGTCAACCATCAAGTGAGTGACATCACTAGACAAGCGATTGCTCGAGTGGAACCCGAAAGGGAAGCGGGTGGCGAGCTGGTCGTCATTGCGAGGGTGACTTGAAGGGGGTCATGTGAGGAGGAGGAGGAGGAGGAGGAGAGGAAAGCGTGTGGGCAGACTTGGGACGGGTTGAAAAGGTTGGCAGAAAACAGAAGGCAATGGAGGTGCGCAGCTGAGGCCCTATGTTCCTCTAGAAATCAAAAGACATAATAATAATAAACCACCGCCTCAATGTGTAAACCTTATCAATCCATCCTCATTATTTTTTCTGCATATCCGCTGGGCAGGCAAAAGATTCTTGGTTTGATTTGTGTTTAACTTCCAGACATCCTTATTGCTTATGTTTCTTAAATATTTTTTTGGTAAAATTGAATCAGACCTCGTTGTTGCTTTTCTTTACCCCCCATCCCTCCTTTTTTTACGATTTTATTTTCAGTTTGACGCTGCAAATGAAGCTCTTATCAATGAGTACTTTTCATCTGAAAAAATGGATGAAGCAGCTGAGAATTGTGTACGCCTTGTCAATAGTAGAAGTTATATTAGCAACAATAATAATAATTATTATAAAAAAAAGAAAAATGGCATTAAAGTTGAACAAGATTATGATACCAATGTTATAGATCCAGCCTTACTTTCATATGAAGTACGTAAGCTAAAATGGCGAAATTGTATCATCAAAGAATTGGATCGTATTAACCGTGGTCTATTCCAATGGAATCCAGCTTCACTATTAAAATTTAATGAAGAATAAGCAAAATATAATTAAAAAGAAAATTCAATGAATATTTTTCAAAAAGTACATGATCAACAATAATAAATAAATAACATTATCTACAGATAAACAAAATAGTGTTGAACAATTTTCAATACACATATATATATTCCATTTCAAAATAAATCAAAAAACCCGCCAAAAATTTTAAAAGACAAATTAAAACAAAACAAACAGCAATAAATTATTCAGAAAGATAGCTATTCAATGTTTACTAAGATTTTTAACTTTAAAACAAAATAAAAACCACTATCCAACTGCATCAAATGTTATCTTTATAGATTTCTTCTACTCAATTTCAAAATTCTATACATAACAAGTTTTGAATAAAAATAAATAAATAAATTTCAACGAGACAATGAATAAATGAATGTACTTTTGAATCCTTTTTTGTCCAGTATTTTAATGTTTTTTGTCATTGACGTCTCTCTCCTGTGGTTCTTACTCGTCAACGTCATTATCATCGTCATCATTATCGCCATCACTGTCATCTTTTCTACTTATCGGTTGAGAGTATCATCAGTACTCCTCTGTGACTGTGTGTTTATCACTGTGTGTGTGTGTGTCCGTGTGAGTGTGTTTCATTCACTGTTTTGAAATAAACAAAACAATATTATTCATGCTTCTATCATTCTGATAATAAGTGGTCATCAGTTGGAGAACATTCGTAGCACGCTAAATACTACTGACTAACTGACTGACTGACTGGCAAGAATGAGTAGTGGGATACAACCAGTCTGTTTTTAATCGTAGTGATTTAAAGGCACCGAACGAACGTTTCACTCATTGAGGATCGGCCTCATCAATAGCGTGTCTGATTTAACTTCAGCTCAGAGAGAACTGAATTAGTCTAGGAACCATTTGAATTATCACCAGCTAGGCTACTTGATCGAACGCAATGATGCCACATACACTAAATTAATAATTTTGAAATTAGCTCGAAATTTTCACAGTTCGAGGTGATTATTTCAGCATAGTCTCGTTTGGATATTCTCGTCGTGAGCTGAGTTAAACTGGGTATACAGCTGACGAGCTTAGCTCCTAAAAAACCGGAACTTCATTTTAACCAAAGGATGATTTCAGTTTGAGAATTACTACAGACTATGAGAGACTATTGCAGAGTTTTTATGTTCCTGAACACAAGAGGCACTCATGAAGAAAATCAAGGACAATGCAGAGAAGAAAATTTTCTCTATCGACGAAATCATCTTCAGAGGCTGTGCAGGAGTCGTATTTATATTTGCTAAAAACTGTATAGTAGTCTATTATTGAGTAATACAAGGGGAGGGGGGGGCAGGAACGTAATTGATATAATTACTCAGAAGTGGATTTAGAAGTGAAAATAAACGTTGTAAATTGCCTAGTACTCTACGGCAAAAAGGAAGAAATTGTTATAAATTTGATAACGTTAAAATTTTCTATAGTTTGGTTTGTGAGGGTTAGTTTTGTTTTTACGAGTTGAACACAGATTGATGTAAGTTAGAGAACCATTGAAATCCAGACACATGGAGTACTAGGCAGCTGTTTCATCCTAGTGCTTGGTATTTATCATCAGTACGCACTCACCACCACGCTTCGAACCAGGACTTTTCAGTTACAAGGCCAGTGAGCTCGGATGTCATTCAGCCACTGGGACCTGATTCAATGACTCATGAATTCTGACTTCTAGTAATTCGTGATTTAGCCGACCTCAACCATTGTCGTTGGTGGGACATCCATCCTCACACGTGACATCTGGATGCACCTCACTGGTCATGACGTCTCACTAGAATTCAGTTCAGGAAACTCCATCCTGTAGCAAGTCGCTATAGTTTGGTTTGTGAGGGTTAGTTATGTTCTTACGAGTTGATCACAGATTGATATCAGTAAGAGAACCATTGAAAACAAGCAGGAGTACTGAGCCATTGAATCAGGTCCCAGTGGTTGAATGGTATATGAGCCAGCTTACCCTGTAACCAGAAGGTCCTACGTTCGAATCCTAGTAGGCACATACTGCCGATGATTTCCAGTACTCCCTAATCTTCAATCTGTGATCAACTCGTAAGTTGAAAATTGCTACTCAGTGAGAATAAAGGTGGTAGTTGAGTGTCCATTTAACAAATGTGAAAAGGCTGAGAAAATGTACAAAAAAGAACAAATTTGAAAACGATAATAATGAATTAATTATTAAAGTGAGAAGAAAGTGATCATTAAAAAAGAAACATAATAAAAGTAACAGGGAACGACTTATGAATAGCTTAAGACCATGGTCGCATAAGAGACTCGAAAAACGTTTTCTGTATACAGAGTTTTGATGTTGTACTGACGACATTACTAATGCCTCCGTTGAGAAAAGAAAGATCTGACACTTCTCTTCGGAGATTAATCTACAAGAAATCAATATGGAATGGTGAATGCATGAATTTTCATAGCTGAGTCCTTCTGAGAAAAAAAGAGGAATCTGATCCAGTCTTTATCCTCTAGAATAAGAAAGATATTTACCAGTAATAAAATCGATGGTGAACTGGAGCAACACTCAGACAAATCCTCATGAAAAATGGATATCCTTCAAGATTTATCGAGAAAAAAACAAATAAAAACTTGAAAGTAAAGCATAAACCTGAAAGAACCTAGACGGTGCTGAAGAAATTGCTATTTAGGAACGTTGAATTTAAAGGCGATAACTACGGTTGAGATCCTGAACGATGGCCTATCCAAATCACTTGAAAACGCCTTCATTGTAGCTGAGCTACAGAGGAATAACAAAGCTAACTAGATTCATGGTCTAGTGTGTTTTGAACACGTAGCCTCAGCTTTTTCGAAACATATAGTGGGCAGCTTTTGCAGTACAAAGAAGTCATAAAATCTTTTGCATTCATTCAGTAGATACTTTTTGTTTAATTTGCAAATGACTCTGAAGGATATATAATGATGTGATTGAGATTCTTTGAAACGTTTGGATGAGATATTCATTTATGACATTTATGAATGAACCAGTGTCGCCTTTTTTGCAGTAATGCTGAGTGATGTTCGCTGGCATATTTTAGAAAAGATGCAAATAAAGCGGCCTACGCACCTAGATCTACAGGAGCAGATAAATTGATGCCTCCATATTGCAGTGTCATATTCGAGAGTGTTATCTTTTATATTGCTTATAAGCAGGAACCACTTGTTGACCATCGAAGGAATTGAATTTGACACACCCTCCCTCAATGCTGTAGTCATACACACAATCACTAAGTTATTTAAGCTCGTAATTCATTTTTTTTTGTAAGAATTTAGTAGTGGGTACACTGATTGCTCAATTGTACCGTAACCGATATTATGTCATACACTGACGGATAGAAGTTGAGTTGAGTTCACGCTGACGTCAACAACTAGCCACCTACACACATGACATTGATTAATCCCTCTCTTTATATCAACTGAAAAGTTACATAATCAGTTTAGCAAACAAATTAATTGATAAATGTATATAACCAAAGCGTTATTTACTTGATACATAAAACAAAATGTAAATATACGCCGACATATATATTGCATCAATGTGATGCTGAGTGAAGAGAAATTCATTTTGAAATGTAAAAAGCATCAGCGTGGTTAATGTTGTCAGTATACATACACGAACGAACACAGAATTTATGTAAATTGCTCTGAGACAGAAGAGAATACTGTGTACCTATCTATCTATCTATCTATCTATCTATCTATCTATCTATCTATCTATCTATCTATCTATCTATCTATCTATCTATCTATCTATCTACCTATCTATCTATCTATCTATCTATCTATCTATCTATCTATCTATCTATCTATCTATCTATCTATCTATCTATCTATCTATCTATCTATCTATCTATCTATCTATCTATCTATCTATCTATCTATCTATCTATCTATCTATCTATCTATCTATCTATCTATCTATCTATCTATCTATCTATCTATCTATCTATCTATCTATCTATCTATCTATCTATCTATCTATCTATCTATCTATCTATCTATCTATCTATCTATCTATCTATCTATCTATCTATCTATCTATCTATCTATCTATCTATCTATCTATCTATCTATCTATCTATCTATCTATCTATCTATCTATCTATCTATCTATCTATCTATCTATCTATCTATCTATCTATCTATCTATCTATCTATCTATCTATCTATCTATCTATCTATCTATCTATCTATCTATCTATCTATCTATCTATCTATCTATCTATCTATCTATCTATCTATCTATCTATCTATCTATCTATCTATCTATCTATCTATCTATCTATCTATCTATCTATCTATCTATCTATCTATCTATCTATCTATCTATCTATCTATCTATCTATCTATCTATCTATCTATCTATCTATCTATCTATCTATCTATCTATCTATCTATCTATCTATCTATCTATCTATCTATCTATCTATCTATCTATCTATCTATCTATCTATCTATCTATCTATCTATCTATCTATCTATCTATCTATCTATCTATCTATCTATCTATCTATCTATCTATCTATCTATCTATCTATCTATCTATCTATCTATCTATCTATCTATCTATCTATCTATCTATCTATCTATCTATCTATCTATCTATCTATCTATCTATCTATCTATCTATCTATCTATCTATCTATCTATCTATCTATCTATCTATCTATCTATCTATCTATCTATCTATCTATCTATCTATCTATCTATCTATCTATCTATCTATCTATCTATCTATCTATCTATCTATCTATCTATCTATCTATCTATCTATCTATCTATCTATCTATCTATCTATCTATCTATCTATCTATCTATCTATCTATCTATCTATCTATCTATCTATCTATCTATCTATCTATCTATCTATCTATCTATCTATCTATCTATCTATCTATCTATCTATCTATCTATCTATCTATCTATCTATCTATCTATCTATCTATCTATCTATCTATCTATCTATCTATCTATCTATCTATCTATCTATC